CCTCAATTCTGCTCAGTGCAGAAAGGAACCATCTGATTACTAAGTTTTCTTCAACTCTGGGAATCTGTCTTAACTTGTTTCTGCATCATCACCATATTCTCCTTCTAGAACTCATATCTTACATTTATTTTATTTCCTATATAATTTTCTTACCCCATGACCCTATCATCTTTTTTTTTCTTTCAGTTACCATTTCTATCCTTTCTCTTCTGAAAGCCTTTTTTTCAACAGTTCATTCTAGTTTTAGTAATGATTGACTTTTCACTGGGGAATTTGAAGACTTGTCTTACTTTAAACCCTCTTTCCTTATTCTCCCTACGTAGTATATCACAATTTAATTATTCAGTTTGCTTAATAACTATGTAAATTTTTTGTTGCCAAGCTCTGTAGTCTTATTTCACTCCTTGTACAACTTTTCTTTTCCGTGAAGTTAAACTGTCTTAAGTGAGAACTGGTTAGTTTTCTGTTATCTGTCAGTAATCTCTTTTCAGACTCATCAGGTAGCTGTGGTTTGTTTTTTAACTGGGACATCCCTCCTCTAACCCTCTGTTCTTCTTCCCCAGATGTGGTGTAACATAGCTGTTATTTTAGTTTCCCTTCATTGTCATCCAGTGGATTCCCTTAGGATCATCCCATTGATTCCCTTAACTCCTTCCCTTTGAATTCATTTTGATTCTCTTCTGTATTTGCATTCCTTGGATTCTTGTCTATACCTAGTCTGTTGGATCTCCTGCCTGCCTTTTTCTTGATTTGTTTTCTTACTGTTTTTTTTTTTTAAGATTTATTTGATTTTTCGACTGTAGCAGTTCTTTGTTGCTGTGCACCGGCTTTCTGTGGTTGCTGAGAGTGGGTGCTGCTCTCCGTTGCGGTGCGGGGGCTTCTCTTGCTTCAGGGCACAGGCTCGAGCGGATTTAGGGCACAAGCTTCAGAGTGCTCAGCAGTTGCAGTGCACTGGCTTAGTTGCCCCGGGACTTGTGGGATCTTCCCACACCAGGGAATCTAACCTGTGTCCCTTGTATTGCAAGGCAGTTTCTTAACCACTAGACCACCAGAGAAGCCCTGTTTTCTTACTATTCTGAAGCAAAGAGCAACTAAGGAAAGACTGCAAAAGAAGTAAATATAAAGTGTATTTTCTGAATCCCTGCGTGAATAAAAATGTTTTCATCTCACCCTCATAATCTGATCGATAATTTGACTAGAAATATCAATTTAGGTTGAAAAAGTGACTTCAACTTTTTGAAGGCATTGCTCCAAGAATTTCTGAAATCTTCTAGTATCTAGTGTTATTGGGAAGTCCAAACTAATTCAGGTTCTTAATTCTTTTAAGTGGTGTATTTACACTCTTTGGAAGCTTTTTGCATTTATTATTTATTTGTGATGTTCTAATATTTCGTGTTGAGGTATCATACTTTTTTTTTTTTTTTTCGTTTGGCTAAACACTCACTCACTCTGGAAACTAAAACTCTGAAATTTTCTACTATTATTTTGTTGAAGGTTTGTTCCCTATTGTTTTCTCTTTTCCTTTATTTGATAGATCACTTTTCAGGTCCGGTGCTTACCATCATGTCTGACACATAATAAGAACTCATTAAATTTTTTGAATGATTAAACACTCATAATTCAGATCTTAAATTTCTTGTGCTACCCCTAGAATTTTTTTTTTAATTGAAGTATAGTTGATTCACAATGTTGTGTTAGTTTCTGGCAAACAGTGAAGTGACTCAGTTATACATAGGTATACACATATTCTTTTTCATATTCTTGTCATTATGCTTTACTGCAGGATATTGAATATAGTTCCCTAGGCTATACCTTATTGTTTATCTCCTTTATATACAGTAGTTTGTATCTACTCTTCCCCCCCCCACCCCCAGTTTCTGTCTCTCTTTTTATGTTATACTTTCTGTGAGGTTTTAAGTTCTTACCTTTGTATTTTTATAAAATACAAAGAAAGAAATTCTTCTTTAAGTATTTCTTTTCCTGGCATCACTCTCTTATAGGATTGTCATATAATATTGTTTTTAGAAGCATAGGTTTCCTGAATTTGGGGATTTTTTTTTTACCCCTTTGTTGTCTCTCTTGAGTTCTTATTTTCTGTTTATTTTAAGCTCTGATGTTCAATATTTTCCTGAAATAGCTAGTGACTCAAAGCCTATTTGGGCTTCTCTGGTGGCTCACTTGCCAATGCAAGAGATGCAGGTTTGATCCCTGGGTCAGGAAGATCCCCTGGAAAAGGAAATGCCAACCCACTCCAGTATTCTTTCCTGGAGAATCCTATGGATAGAAGAGCCTGGTGGGCTACAAATAGTCCACAGGGTCGCATAGAGTCGGACACAACTTAGCAACTAAACAACGTAATTTGATCAGAGGATCATAGGAGGCCTCAGAAAGTATGACCTTTAAGTAGAGATTTGGAAAATGAATAATAGTTATCAAGGCCAAGAGTAAAAGAAAATACCTGTAAACATAAGAAAAAGGACCTAGAAAGGTCTAGATAGAGACTAATAGCTAGGAGCACTTGAAGAACTACTAAATAGGGCCAGTGTGGATGAAGCTTAGAAACCAAAATGGAACATAGGGTGAGTGAGATTTGGTTGAAAGGCAGGCAGGAGCCAGATCATTCAAAGCTTTGTAAACCATATTCAGGAGTTTGGCTTTTATTGTGAGAGCAATGTAGTATAGGAAACCATCAAAGAATTTTAAACAGAACAGTGACAGGATAATGCTATTCTAGTGACATGGATTCAAGATTACAAAATCAAGATTACAAAGCTCAAGTGGGGGGAAGTAGGTAAGAGGCTATTCTAGTCCAAGAAAGAGCTATTTCATATTACATATTATATTGTATGTAAAGGGAAGAGTTTAGGATATACATGGGGCAAAATTAGACAGTATTTGCTAAATAATTACATGAGAGGAAGAAGATGGTACTAGAATGATCTTCACTTTTTTGACTTGAAATTTTCTCTCTGGATCCATAGTGTGGTCTTCAAAACATTTCACTTGCCAACATCTCCATTTTTGTATGGAAATCATTCCATAATATTACCTCCCAGATGCTAAATATGCATTTTATACCAAGTATTTTTTCATATACTATTCTTAGTCCTCAAAATGATCATAAGAGTTATTTATTTCTATCATATAGACAGACTGCTGGGGGCTCAGAAAGATGAACTAACATGTCCAAGAAAACAAAGTGGGTAATTAACTGAGTTTGAGTTCAGAATTCATCTTATACCTCTATTCTTTCAATAGCAATACACTGCCTCCCATTACATTCTTTTCCCTTATCTTTGAACCTGCAAATACCCTTCCTGTCAGTTGGTCGTCACCACTAAGTGCTTGTGCACTTGTCAAGTCCTTTCCCTTTTTCCCATAGTTCAGAATCACAGAATTCCAAGGCATAGTATTGTCATCAGACCCCCAAACATATACCATGTCTAGCTACAAAAAATCCTCCCTGTAGTATATGAACTCATATATATGAACTCATATATGAACTCATATATACTCATATAGAATAATGAACTCATGCTAGGTTCATTACTCGACTTTTCTTAAGGTATTCTCCTGTCTGGATTGGTACCTTCTATTTCCCTATCATTCATTAAAGAGAAACTAAGCCTATACTTAATCTAGAATTTTTCAGTGATGGTGGAAGTGTCTTATGTTTCTGATTTCCAGTATGGTAGACACTAGACACATTTGGCTATTGAACACTTGATATGTGGGTAGTGCCATTGAGGAACTGAATTAGAATTTTTAATTTTAATTATATTAAATTCAAATAGACACCTGTGCTAGTAGCTACTGCAGTGGACAACATAGAACTAAGCAGGGTCTGGCAAACTTTTTCTTAAAGGGCTAGATAGTAAATATTTTAGATTTGCAGTCAATGTGGTCTCTATTGCAACCAGAACTCATAAACAGTCATAGATAATATATAAACAAAGAAGTGTGACTGTGTTACAGTTAGAAAAATTATTGCAGGGCTGCAGTCCATAGTTTGCCAGCCCCTGGACATTTTTCCTTAGACACGTTCATTTAATCCTGACAACAGGGACTTGCCTGGTGGTCCAGTGATTAAGCCTAGAGTTCCATCCTTGGGTGGGTATCTAGGATCCCACATGCCATGCAGTGTGGCCAAAATATATATATATACATATGTGCTGACAACAACTCTATTAAGTAGCTATGATCCCACTACAGTATTCTTGCCTAGGAAACTCCATGTTCAGAGGAGCCTGGCAGGCTACAGTCCCTGGGGTCGCAAGAGTCGGGCTCAACTGAGCGACTGAACAGGAACATGGATGTGTGTTCTTTTAATCTCTGGCTGTAATCTTACTCACTCAACCTAAGCTGCTGGCCATTATTCTTGACACTTTTTTGAGTGATAAGGCAACAATCTCTGATCCAAGCATACAGGGGCAGGAAGAATAGAGAGGTAGAATGATGAGGCAGTTTTGTTTTTTTTTTGTGGTAACTTTATAGCCTTTTAAGGTTATATACTGTATGCTTAAACATCTCCCTGCAAAAGACTGACCTATATAACAAGCTAAATGTGACTGAATTTTTCTTCTACTACAAAGTGGGAGAGAATTCCCTTTGTAAAATTATGAATCCAAATAAATGACTTTACCAAAAAAAAATAGGTATGATCATTTCCTTTATTTTATAGTTCATGCTGTGGGATGTTCTTATATGAGTGTTTGTGTATGCTGTGAGATTTTGTACGTGTGTATGTATGATTAGAGTCATCCTGTAACAAGGAAGTTTAAGGCATCTGTGTATTTAGAAAGCTCCCCTAAATAATTCTGATATATAGCAACATTTAGAAACCACAGACTTACTTCCTAGCTTTATCTTACTATGTCATCTCTCCTCACTCTCTTCTCATCCAGTTTTTAAAAATTCAGTTTAATTTCTTTCATTTTAATTGAAATTTTATTTCTCCAAACAAGGAAAATGTGAGTGATTGCTTTCATATTTTCTTTCAGTCCTGGAGTCAAGATGTGAGACCAAGAAATTATTTCTGAAGAAGGAAATTTATGAAATAGAGTCAGCCCAGTGGGAGATAATGGACAGACTTACAAGACACGACCTTCAGTGCTCCAGTTTCAGAGATGAATGGGACTGTAATGGCCAGTTTGAGAAACAACATGGCTCTCAGGAGGGACATTTCAGTCAACTGATATTCACCCATGAAGGCATGCCTACTTTTAGTCAACATCCATCCTTTACATTACAGCAAATCATGAATAATAGTAAAGAGAAATACTGTACAACTAAGGAATATAGGAAAACCTTCAGACAGGACTCCCAGCTTACCACACATCAGATCATCCATACTGTTGAGAAACCCTATGAGTGTAAGGAATGTGGAAAGGCCTTTAGACATCCCTCAAGACTCAGTCATCATCAGAAAATTCATTCTGGCAAGAAACCCTTTGAATGTAAGGAATGTGGGAAAACCTTTATTTGTGGCTCAGACCTTACCCGACATCACAGAATTCACACTGGTGAGAAACCCTATGAATGTAAAGAGTGCGGGAAGGCCTTCAGCAGTGGCTCCAACTTCGCTAGACATCAGAGAATTCACACTGGTGAGAAGCCCTATGAATGTAAAGAATGTGGGAAGGCCTTCAGTAGTGGCTCAAACTTTACTCAACATCAGAGAATTCATACAGGGGAGAAACCCTATGAATGTAAGGAATGTGGGAATGCCTTTAGTCAAAGCTCGCAACTTATTAAACATCAGAGAATCCACACGGGTGAGAAACCCTACGAATGTAAGGAATGTGAAAAGGCTTTTCGTTCTGGCTCAGACCTTACTCGACATCAGAGAATTCATACTGGTGAGAAGCCCTATGAATGTAAGATATGTGGGAAAGCCTATTCTCAGAGTTCACAACTTACTAGTCATCATAGAATTCATACTAGTGAGAAGGCCTATGAATACAGGGAATGTGCAAAGACCTTTAATTATGACTCACAGCTGGTTCAACATCAAAATTTGTACTGGTGATAAAACATAGAATATACAAAATGTGTGCAAAAACTTCTGTTTACAGCTCAAAACTATTTAACATCAACTCAACAAAAGAGAATTTATCTTAATATTAATCCCTCTGAATAAAATAAGATAGAAACATCTTTTTTGTTGACTACAGCTTGTTCAGCCCAGGAAAAATCATGTAGGAGAAATACTCTATGAGTAGAATATATTTTGGAAGCCCTTTTAGTAAAACCTCCTACTTCTCAGTCTAGTAAATATTCAAAATGACAAGAGCACTTCGTGCATCTTTCTAACCTTATCCGAAACATCAGAGAATACATACAGAAATGTAATCCTGTAATTTTCATATTCCCCCCCATTTTTCTTATAGTTATATTCTCAATCTTTTAATCCATTAAAATTTACATGACTGTAAAGTCTTATCTGTTTACAGCATAGTTTGTAAAATATCTTTTAAGATACTTCTAATACCCAAGAGAAGTGACCTCTTTATTTTTGAAGATGGCTTACTCTTTTTACTCTTTACAAAACTTAGATTTTTCTTGTAAAACATTCATGAATGACTTAACCACTCAGTAAATAGAGATCCTTTACTATCCTTTCAGTGTTTTCCTTGTGTTGCTGTATCATTTCATCAAGTCCCTATTGATAGACATTGTCATTTCCTCCAGTTTTTGCCATTAATACACAGTGTCCTGGTGAACATTCTCCCTAGGCGTATTTTTGTATTATGTCTTATTTTAATTGCTGAAATAATGCATAAGTATATTTTCACTATAATAGATTGAAACATTACAAATAAGACCTTTGACTACTATCCTTGTTCCCATATCGCTTCCTAAAGGATAGTCTTTATCTGTTTAGTATTTATTCTTCCTGAGCATTTTTCTATGTTTCTATACATATATTTCTTGGTAGAAATGATAAAAATGGGAATAATATAATACCTACCTCAGAATTCTGTGTGAGGATCAAATAAAGATACACAAAGTGCTTAGAATTGTGCCTGTCCTATAATACAGACTGTTTGTTGTTAATTGTATTCATCATTATCACTTTATTAGTATTATTTGTCAAAAAGCAACTGTTTCTACAGACCATACTCAACATCAGACAGGATATATAATTGAAGAAAGACCCATTGAGGGTAATGAATTAAGAAATTTTCTATCATTTACTTCCTGTGGAACATGAATTACTCCTGGGTGTTGGTGCAGAAAGTAACATGTATAATGAGTAGGAAAGGCTGTGTATTCAGACTGCTATCCTTTCTACTACATTGTAAAATACCTAATGTAAAGACAGACAATAATACAGACAACATTGCTGACACTAGTGAAAAAGTATGAAAAGACAAACAGCACTGTGTTTGAAAATAAGATGTGCATACACATAAAGAGAAACTTTACAGTTACCAATTTTAAATGTTATACTGAATACAGTGCTTCTAATACATTTGAAAACCTAGACAAAATTTTTTACAAAAATTAAAATTACCAGTATTGACACAGAAAATTAGAACTCTTGGGGAACTCTTATAAAGAGGTAAAAGGGGAAATTTAGTGTGAATTATAGTATCTTGGTGGCTCAGTGGTGAAGGATCTATGTGCAATGCGGGAGATGAAGGTTCAGCCCCTGGGTTGGGAAGATCCCTTGGAGAAGAAAAAGGCAACCCACTCCGGTATCCTTGCCTGGGAAATCCATGGACAGAGGAATCTGGCAGGCTACACTCTGTGGTGTCACAAAGAGTTGGACACAACTGAGCAACTAAACAACAACAGCATAGCAGCTATTACTAATGAATAATCAAACCCAGTTTCTTTTCAGGAGCAACTCTTTGTAAAAAATTGGGGTATAAATGACATCAACATTAGATTAGTTTCAGGTGTACAACATAGTGACCTAATATTTTTATATATTGGGAAAAGTGTGTTAGTTGCTCAGACATGTCCCACTCTTTGCAATCCCATGGGCTGTAGGCCTCCGGGCTCCTCTATCCACATGATTCCTCAGGCAAGAATACTGGAATGAGTAACTATTCCCTTTTCCAGGGGATCTTCCTGACCCAGAGATCAAACCTTCGTCTCACATGTTGCAGGCAGATTCTTTACATCTGAGCCACCAGGGAAGCTTGTATGTTGGAAAATGAACACCATAATAAGTCTAGTTAATATCTATCACCATCCATACTTACAGAATGTTTTTTCTTGAGAAGAGGCAAAACTTGAGCAAGGAGCTATTTGTTATATAGAAGTAGATATAACACACTTAAACATAATCCTAATGTTAGGAATGAATTAGGAGGACACAGGTTATTTTATCAAGGTGATCTGTGAAGATGTATACAAGCATACTAAGAAAAAGTAAACTATTGTTGTTCAGTCTCTAGGTCATATCCGACTGCGACCCCATGGACTGTAGCCCGCCAGGCTCCCCTTATCCATGGGATTCCCCAGCCAAGAATACTGGAGTGGATTAACATTTGCTTCTCCAGGGTTCTTCCTGACCAAGGGATTGAACCCGTGTCTCCTGCATTGGCAGACTGATTCTTTACCACTGGTATCTATTAAATAAAGAACAAGAATGAACTTGGGCTGGGACAGTAACTGAAGAGGCTCCGCAGTGTCCAGTTCTAGCTAAGAAGTGCTATAAGAAAATGGCAGCCCTTGTTTTGTCAGCTCTTCTGACTTTTGGGGACAATCCAAATTACCTTTTTTTTCAGTGTGTGATAGCCCTTGATTTTTTAAATGGCAGCTGAGGGGGTTTTTATTTTTGTTTTTTAAAACATGTGGACCAAAGAAGATACATTGACTCTCCAAGTAGCAAGTGACTAAGGTTATTTTTGTTCTGGACAGTGACTGCAAAAGGCTCACTGAGGAGTTTTTTATAGTGCAAATCTCTTAACCCCAAGGAAATTGGAGGCGGGGGGAGGGCAAGGGAATAGTAAAATAGAAGATAATTTACCCATCATTTCTTAGATGTGGAAAATATTTTAAGAGATAAAGCTGATAAGCTCCAGATATAAAGATTTTTTAAGGACTTGATTCAGTCCCATATTTTCTACATGCAGTTTTTTTTAATTCTCAGCATCATATCAGTTAAAAAATAGGATATATTTTATCATTGTAATCCCATTCTTATATATATATGTACACACATACATGTATATACACACACACAATTTAAAGAGTTAACCTATTCAGAAGAAAAATAACCAGGTCACCACTATTTTGCACTAGCTTAGCAAATACGTCAGTAGAATTTTGTATTGTGTTTTAGACTAAGAGTCAGCAAACTTTATGTAAAGGGCCAGAAAGTAAATATTTTACCCTTTGTAGGTCATACTGTTTCTGTTGGAACTACTCACCTCTGCCACTATAGTGTGGAGGCCTATTAAATTTTCTTAAGAAATTCTGAAGTTTAAAAAAAGTATCCCATAACTTAGCTTTGTATAGGGTTAGGTTGAAAGCTTTCCCAGTGGCTCAGTGGTAAAGAATCTGCCTGCAATGCAGGAGACCATAGACCATAGGGTTCAATCCCTGTGTCAGGAAGATCCCCCTGGAGAAGGAAATGGCAGCCCACTCCAGTATTCTTGCCTGGGAAATCCCATGGACAGAGGAGCCTGAAGGGGAAGAGTCCCAACGGATCCCAAAGAGTCGGACACAACACCCACCCCAAGGTTAGGTTAGTGTTTTGAGATGAATCTACTGTGCTTCAGTTTTCACGCTCAACAAGCAGCTTCCTACATTTGGATGGTACCATTCTGTGGAAGGAAAATCCGTATGTCCAAAGTTACTACAGGTCTGTCCTTTCATGCCCCACTCTCTTTTCTTCCTAGGTCCCACGTTAGAGGACAAAACATTGAGTTACTTTATTTTTACCAGGCATGAAGAAGTAAAATACTTCATAATCAATTTGAGAGAAATAGAGTGAGCAACATATGTGCAGATGGGAGTTTTGTTCTAATGTTTGGCATTACACTAAAATGAGAACTGGGGCTTGCTTCTTGGTAGCTCAGTGGTAAAGAATCTGCCTGCAATTCAGGAGACCATAGACCATAGGGTTCAATCCCTGTGTCAGGAAGATTCCCCTGGAGGAGGAAATGGCAACCCACTCCAGTATTCCTGCCTGGGAAATCCCATGGACAGAGGAGCCTGGGGCTACAGTCCAAAAGTTAGCCAAGTCTGACACAACTGAGTGACTAAACAGCAACAAAAAATGAAAAGTAAGTGAAATTTTATATTCTTTAGTGTGCATATTTTAAGTCATTTATTATTTCCTCTTCTATTAGTAAAATTACAGAAGTAATGCATTTGCAGTGAAACCAATGAAACAATGCCAAAAAAAAAAAAAAAACCTTAGTATCTCTGTTTCTCTCCATTCCTCACTCCCTCTTTCTGTGTCCATTTCCTTTTGAGTAATGTCTGCACCTCGTGTATCTCCCCCATATATTTCTTCATGCTTAAACATTAACACAAATTATTTTAGTATTTTTTTTGCCCCAAAAGTGGATGATACTTTATACATTTCTCTGTAATTTTCTTTTTTACATACAACTGTACATTTTAGATTTTCTTTTGAGTCAGTAAATGATGACTGAACTTAGTTGTTTTAGTGGCTGGAGTATATTCCACACTCTGCTTGTACTGATACCTATTCAACTGCAGTATTTCCCCAGATGTGATATTTCAGATTGTCTCTTTTCCATTTAAAATTAGTGCTGCAATAAACAGTCACATGTTATATTCTTGTCTATTTATTTTATTTCTATAAAGTAGGTTTCCCAAAATATTCCCAAATAATGTTTCTTAGAAAAGTATTACTTATAGAAAATTTCAGAGGGCAAGAGGATAAAGGAAAAAAGTGAAGTTTTTCATATATGTTTTATGTAGGTATGTACAA